AACACGGTCGGACTGGGAAAACACAGACCCCGGCCACTAATTCGGTTCCGGAAGCCAAAAAATGGAAGTTTAAGTGCGGGATTACAACGCACCATCCCAAAAATGGCGCTTACCTTTTATGTTTCTTTCCATTAAAAATTCAAAAAAAAAAAAAGAACAAGGGAAGGAGAAAAGTAAAACGTAAATGCTAAAGAAAATAAAAAGGAAAAAAAATTCAATTTGCATTCTATTCCACTGCCATAACCTATCACTAGCATTGGGCCCGGCCCGTTGGCCGGTGTCTTGTAAAACTTTGAAGAAACGATTAAATTATAGCAAAATCCTATCCTCCAAACCAATAAGCAAATTAAGTAATGCATAGATGGACAAGAATCCCTGCTGCACACGCTGGACTCAAGGAAACAAAAGACTATCATTAATGTCCATTTCAGCTCATCTTTTGGCTGTAGCTACTTCTACAATTTGTGTTATCATCTTGATTTTCTAATACTTGAGTTACAACAAGAGTGAAACTTCAACTCTACATATTATAGGAAGGGTGTTGCTAAGAGTCCACTGGTTTAGTTTTTGGATGAATAATGCAACTATTCTTAAAAAAAGGCAGCAAAAACCAATAATCAGATTAACTAAAAAATGCAGCAAAACCTTGCCATTAGTTTTTCATTAATAACACCAACTACCAATATCTAAAAAAATGCAGCAAGCCTTGTTAGTACCTATAGTTATAGCGAACTAAATTTGATATTGAACCAAACTTGAGAAACAAAAGAGAAACCATAGGGGGAAAAGTATCAACAAATGAGAAAAGACTGCAGGCAAACAATCTACATACTGTCCACAATTCAAAATAAACAATAGTGGACAATCCACAAGGGAAACAACCTAGAAATAGATGTTCAATATGAACCTGAATGAAAAGATAAGGCAACGATTTAAAATCAAATTGATTCTATGCAGATTGCAGGATGTACAAAGCAAAAATTCAATTATATGCTTCTTGGTTTTAGCAATGGAAGATGTAAACTTACAATGACCACAAAAGTACTCATCGAGATCCTTTTCTACCTTGCGAGGGCACACAACACAACCCATGTAGCACCAATTAAGACGCACTTGAATCACTTTCCCTTCAACCGCAAACAGTTTTTCCTGAAGTTGAGTAAAAAAATAGAAACAAAATCTTGGTATTAGATAACTTAGGGGTGCTGTAAGGATACAATTTCTTAAGTAAAAACCTTTACATTCTGGTCTTCCATGGTTTTGAAATCATTGAGCTGAGCAATGAAATTTTTTGGAATCTCAACAACTAGGACCTCATCAAGCAAAATAGGTGCACTGAAAGTTGTTTCCTAGAATGTAATGGAAAATAGCTTAAGAATCTGCTTGCACAAATGTTCAACAACAAATAAAAATACAAACATAAACATGCTTTGCTTCATCCATACATTGCATTTCAAAAAGTTGTAACTTTCTTTCATTGATTTGCTCGACCCATTGCCATCCTACAAGCAACCAATGGAGGTGAATAATCCTCCAAGTCCCACCTCAACACCACGTGTCCAAGGTGAGCTGAAGAAGGATTTGGGTTTAACTCCCCATCACTTCACCACCAACAAACAAATTGTGTTAATTATGTGCGTATAGCTCTTTTAGTCAATTGCCCTTAGTATATTACCCGACCATCCATTGTTTTCCCTTTGGTTTGTAAAATGCGTCTTTCTCTAATTTTCCTTTCCGCCTAACCATATCTTTGAAACTCTAAGTTGAACATTTGAATATTGATATTATATAAGTGTGTGAAGAATCACTATATGTTGGATTTAAGCACAATCTATTATTTTGATATAATGTTATGGGCTAATACCACTACACCACCCGAACTATCGAAAAATGCCACTTTTGTCCTCTTGTATCAAATATTCCATTCATGTCCTCAACTATGATACTTTGTGTCATTTGTATCCTGTCAATTTCGTTGACCATTAAAGATAACGGTTGACCAAACGGTGGTAAACACAAAGTTGACTTTTGTATATATCCTGACTAAAACGATTGGCCCATTAACTTTCAACCCACTTGCACGACCGCCCAACGGGCTAACTATTTTGACAATTTTGATTTTTTTTTCTACTTGGGATAACCTTGATTTTGAATGAATAAAAAGATGAAATGTCAATAACCTAATTGGTTAATCTTTTTATTTTCAAAACTATCAATAACCTAATTTTGACCAGCAATTAAAAAATAAATAAATGGTGGAGATGTAAGAGCATGGTTGTCATGAAGGTAACATGCCGGCCGGTTGAATCTGATTCAATCTGTACCGGTCATAAAAAAAGGCATGAACAATATAGGTATGACCGACATGATCGACTTACGGACTATAAGTAAAATGACATTGTTTAAGTGAATTTAATTAATAAAAAAGTAATTTATTATTTATTTCATGAATTTAAAAGTTAGAATTTTATGTTATTTGTTGGATTGTAAGTAAATTGTCCACAAATATGTTTTATTTATGATTAAATTTATTGGATGTTAATAATTTTGATATTTTGATATTTTTGTTAAACCGGCATGAACCAACACAAACCGGTTGTACCACCGATCGTACCACTTCACTTGCCAAATCCGCACTGAGGTATAAACCGGTTTGACAACTTGTGTAAGAGTCAGGCCAACCTATTTCATTTTGAGCCCACTAGCGCAACTGAAGTACAAATTTCAAATGCGTGGTCGTTGCCTGTTTGAACTCCAATAACTTTTGACTCACTCCGAATATCACAATAAAATCCCACCTAAGGACCAAGTATAAATCTTAAATGGGTGCAATATGGGGCAAGTATGTTTAAATATCAACCTGGGTCGGTCCATGTACCCTAATTCAATTGTTTGAAACATTATCTAGCGGAATGCTGTTTGTTAAAATCTCTACAATCTACTATTTAAAAGCAAGACTTGAAAAGTAAAAAGGTGAAAAACTCTTGGTGAGAAGTTTCACTCGGGAGTTGCTTCCCCCTAACTAACTACCATGAACCGTGAGATCGAATAAATCAGTGTGTGACAAGGAAATTGTGATCCGTAGGAGGTGCAACAATGGTTAGAAACCATCCTCTAAATTGCTAGGCCAATGAAAGAATTATAGGCTACAATTGTAGCCCTCTTGGCACAAGCAAGTGAGGGTTGACTTACCTTCTCCCTCAAACCAAGGCTTGGATAGCATAATCACAATTAACCAAGGTGTCTAATTCAAGTTAGAGGTTTGCCCTTCATTAACCTAGTTAGGAGGCATGGAATGCCTAAGTAAACCGATCTCAATTTAAGCCTCTTAAGATAAGGGGGCTTCTCTCTAAGCTAGGTTAAAATAGCACAATAGATTGCCAAGCACACAATGCACAATCACCATAAAAATACCTCAATTCTTAAATTAAACACCACTATCATACAATCATTCAGTTCACACAATCAATTACATGACGGAAGTTAGGATTCTACCTCACCCAAGTGAAAAGGGAAACTACTCCATGATAGACAAAGGAAGAACACAGAGGAAGAAGAAAGAAACCATCATTATGATGTCTCCAACTCTCCTTGTGCTTGTAGAGATCCTCTCTTGAAGAGGAACTTTCAAAATCTTCACTTGGAGCAAACCCTAGCCTATTCACCCTCTTGGTTCGTGCTTTCTCTCTCTATGGTTTCAACAAGCTAGAAGAAGGTTTCTCTCACTTTTTAGGATCCCCTTCTTCTTCCTTTCAGCTCTCAATTTTTACATAGATGGAGCCCAGTCACGGTCCCTGTTCACGGGCGTGAACATCAGGCCGAGACCACGAACACAAATCAAAAAGCGCCGCTTCACTTATGGAGTTCACGGTCCATATGGCTCCAGTTCACGGTCTTACGATCGTGAACTGTCTCGATGTCAGTAACCTATGAAACTTCTCTGGACGCTCCGCGGTTCACGGTTTGGAGTTCAAGTTCACAGTCCTGGCGACCGTGAACTCCAAGATGCGACCGCGAACTGCGGCTAGATCCTCCTCTTTGCCCGGTCTTTGCGCCTTTTCTTCCCACTTTCGACTCCTGTGTTGGTTTCACCTGTTAGACTCTGAAACACATTGAAACAAAAGAAACCTAGCGTAAAGCCACCATTTTATGAGCTCAAATGCCACAAACGCCAAAGAGAAACGGAAATAAAAAGTGTACATTTAGGCCTGAATCAACTTTGAAAAAGATATACAAACAGTCACAGAGAAAGAGTGGAGAGGCAGTGGTGGAAGTAGGATTTGAAACTACCTCTGTCCTCTTTTTGTATTATAAATATAACTAAAATAATTATATCTAAATAATTTATTTTCACATAAAATTAACGTCTAATACAATTGGTATCTTTATAAACAACCATGATGATTTTTCATATTCTAAAAACAACACAAATTACATTCAATGTCTACACTATTAATTAAGTCATTTTCAATGGATCTCACTAAACAAGCATTAACAAATGGGTCATGAGTTCGACTTCGAAATTCGTTCTTGAGCTAAAAGTTGAAAATATTTTATTTACATTTGCCGTCAAAACTAGTGGAATCGGTGCTACCTCCTGACTGCTTTAAGATTGCTAACAAATAATCGAATAGGCATATAAAGATAATAGATCTATTCCAATTGAGATTTCGTTAATTTTATCAAAATTAATTTAATTTTAATTTATGTTCAAATAATAAGTTGTGATATAGTAACGAAATACGTTGTATTAGGTGTTGTGTTCAATCCTTCATATAAAGAGATATATAGAGAGTATTTGGGTTCCTCCCAAATTTTACCCCTGTCCGCCTATGTGGAGAGGTGGCGAGCTTCCCAACTTCGAAAACCCCTCCCCCTCCCCCCTCAATCTTCTTCTCCTTCATCTTCTCTTCACCAAAAGTAAGCCCACCACCCAATTCAAAAACACCATTATTGAGCATTACGACCGAGACATTTGAGGTGCTTCTCAGGTCGTGATCATGACTGGGGTTGTGATGGTGACCAAGGGCGGCGGTTGTAAGAGTTCGGCAAGGGGAAGTAATAAGGCCAGCAGCGAAGACGAGCACAACCACCAGCTATCGATGGTAGCCGTTCTGCTATCTGCTTTAAGGATATCCCTGGCTTCCTCGTGCTGCATTGAAGATGTGGAGGACCTGATGTCGTCGTCTTCCTCTGTCGCCATTAATCACATGGACATCGGCCGATCGACGAACGTTCAGCACATTACCCATGTTATCTTTGATCGATTCAACGGGATTTTGGGTCTTCCGATGGAGTTCGAAGTGGTAATTCCTTCAAGAGTCCCCAACGCCAGGTACTGAAATTTTAGTTCAACCATCTTCAGGGGTCTTCAAGAAAGTGCTAGACGTAAGGCGGGGGTTGAGCCTTTGCCTAGCGTCTAGCTTGCCTAGGCGTAGACTAAGCGTGTCTAGGCGTTGGAAGAAAAATAGCTATTTGCACTGCATGATGAATAAAATAATAATCTACAATACCTCCTCACCTCAGTTAAAATGACAAATAACTTACTCAACAATTAATGATAAAAACATAACTCACGAATTCATAGAATCATAGCTTAATAGCTCACAAAGTTTTTGAGCTGTTGAAAATATCGATATAGAAAATTGATTTCGTAGTTGATGTTAATTTCCTCCTTTAATATTGATTTCCTAGCTCCATCTAGTTATGTTTAGGAGAGACTTAGATGTCACCTTACTCCATTGACGTGTTCTAGTATCTAACTAGGCGCGAAGCCACTAGGCGAGACGTTTTTCTATTGCCTTATGCCTAGGCGTTTCTAAACATAAGGTTGAGCTGGAATTTTTGAACCATGAGTTTTTATCCTCGGTGGAAATGCCGAGGTTCTTTTGTGACTGGTTTCTTTTTCTTGCTCTCGAAATAAAGGGTTTGAGGGAGTTTGAGCAGAACTGCATCATTGAAAAGTAAATTTTTAGTGTTACCTCACCCTTATAAAAAAAAAGGTTTAGGGTTACCTTTCGGCTATTAGGTAGGAGTTGGTGTTGTAGGTTTCACACTCTTGTTGGCTTAGCCTTATCTTGGGCTTGCTCGATTAGGAGAACGAATGCTTGCTTAATTATCAAAAGAAATGATGCTAGTTCTGATTTGGAATTTAGAAAAAGGAACAATACAAAGGAGGGAAGAAGGTCGGTTTCTGTCCCAGTTTAAAAGGTCTTTAGAAATTTCAAATTGCAGAACTACTGGCCAATAGGCTGCTAGGCTTTTCATTTTGTCCGAAATATATGTTATTTACTCTACTGTCAGTATCTTGTGCGGCTTCTTTGAACCAAATGGAAAAGGATTTCTTCCTTTCAATGAACATTCCTGATTTGCTTAATCGACATATTCTTATCTTTGGCTCAATCAATTTTACAGTGTTAGTGTGGTTGGTGTCTCGGCATAGTCAATGTAATGCTGATATGACTCTAAGGGAAATAACATCCTAATAATTCTTCTACTAATGCAACAGAGATTGTACAGAATGATGGTCTTAAGGTATAAATGACGTTACTACTTCAATGGCAGCTCGCAAAATGCTTAATTTCGTTTCTTAAAAATTATTTCTCTTAGTTGCTTTCTTTCCTCCTTTTGATATGGATGAAGGAATTTTCTGCATAAACCTAGAAAATGGTAAGGAGGAACATGTAAGAGACCAGCTGAATAGGGGAATTGTCTCCGATGACATTGATGTGCATTGTTTAGTTGGGCTCATAAAAGCCTGATTGAGGGAACTTCCTTCTGGGGTGCTTGATGGGCTTTCCACCAAGCAGGTTCTCCAATGCACCACAGAAGAAGATTTTGTTGAACTGGTTAAGCAATTGAAGCCAACTGAAGCTGCACTCCTCAACCTAGGTCAGCATAGGACTGCTTGAAACCAAGCTTCAATAAGACATCAGTTAGCCTCACATACCACTGTCTGCTAGCTTAGGTCAGCATAGGACTGCTTGAAACCAAGCTTCAATAAGACATCAGTTAGCCTCACATACCACTGTCTGCTAGCTTGCTTTAGTCCACAAAGGGATTTCTCAAGTTTACAAACTTTCCCTTTATACTAAGGTAATTGATTAAGCCCTAGAGGTAATTCCATGGATATTTCTTCATCAAGAAATCCATTCAAAAAGGCATTGCTTACATCCATTTGTTGTAAGTAGCAATGATTGGTTGTTGCTAAACCAATCAAAAGCTTCACCGAATTCTATTTGGCTACTAAAGAAAAAGTGTCCCAAAAATCAATTCCATGAACTTGGATATATCCATTGGCTACGACCATAGCCTTCAATCTTTCAACATCTCCATCTGGTTTAAATTTAGTCTTGTAGACCCACTTTGATCCTAGAACCTTGCCCTCTGGAAAGTCAACAATCTTCCAAGTCTTATTCTCTTCCAGTTTATTCCATTCTTCATTCATTTGTTTGTTCCATCTAGCATCAGTGCAAAGCCTGTGCATAAGTTTGAGTTTTCGAGATAGTGGTAATGCTAAGGGCAAAGGTTTTATGATAGGGAGAAACTATCAAGTATGAGAGATGTTCAAATATGGGGTAAGACATATAATGTTCTGAGACCTTATCAGTAGTAGTTGTCGCAGCCGCCCCTCCGAATCGAGGGACCCGTCGCGATTTCGCTCGGAGTCGCCATCGACCTTAAAAGTAGTGGGTCGAACACTATTTGGTCCGGTCTCGACCTTAGGATCGAAACCGGGACTTGGTCTGCGGAATTGTACAGATTTGGGTTCGGAAGTACGGTTACGTGTGGAGAAGTGTATTCACACCCCACAACGCCCCAAAATCGGTACTACTTAAATCGATAAGTTTTTAAATGTTAGGTGTATTATTATTTGCAGCTTATTTCGTATTAAATTATAAGATTCAAATAATTAGGTATTTATTTTTACGATTCGATCATACGTCTATTGACGCAAAATCTCATAAGTAAGAAAGTATTTTTGATTGTTTTAGTTATAACTTTTACCACATTCCACTAAAAGTAATCCTCGTATTATATTATTATAATTTTGCTAATAAAATTTCATTTAGATTATTATGATGTTTATGAAAATAAATGAAAGGTTTTAAACAAATAGAATTTAACGTATTGGAAGATAAACAGGATTAACATAATCCGCATTCAAAATTTCGTATTAAGGGTTTTAAACAAATAAAATGTAACGGGATGGCTAAGATTAAGTGTGTTGAACCAATAGCCCAACTGGTTAACTTGCTAATCCGGCACTTGATTTCACGTGACGAGGGTTCGAAACCCAATCACAGCATTTTTGAACCGTCGTTTTTAATTCAGAGACGAGGGAGTTGTATTTTCGTAAGTTCTCAAAAACGCGGTGGCATGGCTGAGTAATTAGCGATAAACCCTAGGGGCATTCTAGTCCTTTTAAAACGCCTAGCATAAAAGGTCTCTAAAAAAAATCCTAAACCTAAATCGGCTATAGCAGCCGCCTCTCTCTCGATCCTTCCCATCTCTTGCGTCTCTCTCTTCTTCCAGAACCCAAAGAACGCCAACTTCGCCTCTCTCTCTTGTTTTTTCCTTCTCGATTCTTCTTCTCTAGAGAACATCAAAAACCCTAGTCAGACTAAGGAGGGCCGCCGCTAGCCCTCACTCTCTCCTCTCTCTTCTTCTACTCACCTTCCTCTTCAGAAGAACGCAAAAAAAAAAAAAACTCTTCGCCCTTCCTCAATGACTCCGCCGCCACCTTATTCTTCCTCTCCTCGTCTCCAACCACCCAAAAGGACTCTCTCACTCTCGTCTATGCTAGCCAAGGAGACCGTTCGAGTCCAACTAAATCAACCGAGAGCATCTCGATTCTAGGTAAAATCGAGACATGCATGGTGTTGTTTTTTTTATTTTTTTTCTGATTTTTATTTCGGACTTTTCTAATTCCTGGGCTTCTGGGTTTAATGGCGGACGAGGGGAGGAAGAGTGTAAAGATTTCATGTGGAAGGAACCCTCTGTTGACCTAGGATTCTCCACTTGGTGATCATCTTCACATTTCTATCTTTATCTTTTGTTCTAGAGCGCTGCACCAATTGGTGGTAAGACAAGTAATAAGAAATAATGAATGGGATAGAAGCCTTGAAGTTCTACCTCTGAGAGCTCAAGCATATTTTGGCTTCCCTTACCTCACATGAGGGTTGAGGGAGGAGAGGAGGTGAATCCTCCAGCTCTTGATCGTGTTCCGAAACATTTCCATACAGAACGTGAAATCAACGGCCAAACTCACATCAGGTTGAAGGAGCAGAGGAGGTCAATCCTTTAGTTTGGGGCCACATTCCAGAAATTCGTGATGTGGAGCAGGAGGCATGTCCTCCACCTCAGAGTAATCACCACTACCAACTACCTCATCTTGTTTTTACCAACTTTCTCTCGTGACAACCTTAGGTATAGTTTCATGCTTATTAGATGTCCTTTGATATATTGTGATGAATCAAAATCGTAAGTTATTATTATTTTGATTAAATTGACCTTATGGTTTGGTTTTAGAGAATTAGGATTTTGGTTTCACCCATTAGAGATTTGTTTAGTATCATCTCCCAAACTCTACTCAATATAATACTCTAAATATCAAAACTCGGAAGATACGATAAGGTTAGCTAACTTCGCCCATAGGTCAGATGTGTGGTTTTGGTTGTGGAGTTCTCATCGTCCCATTTTTTGGTTGGAGCGAGTTTAACGATATTAGTTGCAAAATTTTTGGTTTCTTCAACTGTTGCAGCATCAAATGGGTTTATTCATCTAAGTTAAAGGGGAATTTTGGAGGAGACATTGTGGGCCCTTAGGCAATGGATGATAATGAGCTTTGTCTGAGAATTTTATGACATAATCTTTTGATATATCACCCATCATGCCTCTAAGAGCTCCACAAAGCTATCAATTATTTCGAACCTCCTCTGGCAGTGTTGATGAATTGTCCCGCCATATCTTCAAGCTTTCTCAAACGATTATCCAAAGGTCATCGTTGATTTAAGTAGGGACCTTGGCTCGAAGAAAGGTTGGATCTTTGAAAAGGAGCTTGCATCGGTGTTTTCCCTTGAAAACCGGGAGGTTTCCTATCCTATGATGAAGACCATAAGAAATTAGGATGATTTCTTCATCCTGGATTGCAGGTAGCACTATATGGATTGTTGCCTCTTGGTTATCCTCCAACAAAGTTAGCTTTCTCATGTGAACCGATGCTTCTAACCATTCATAGCTATTGAGTTATAATTGACGTCACCACACTAATCACACTTCATCAATTGTATACTATTACTCTTCATAGCCTAAGCGACAAGATCAATCTTTTTTGTTAATTCTTGAAGATGAACCATCAATGAGGATGGTTCTTCAATTTGTAGCTCATTGCCCTTCCTTGTACTCTCTCCTTGTCTTTCATCACCCCAATCATAGCTATTGAGAGCCATTTCTTCAATTAGCCTTTGCAATTTTCCTACTTCTTGTTCCAAATAGCTCCTCCACTAGCGACATCAATCAAATCCTGGGACTCACGAGTTAACCCATTATAGAAGCTCTCCACTTGTAGCTAATCTGCTATATCATGGTGCCAACACGTGAGAAGTAGTGAAGGGAATTTTTGCCAAGCTTCGAATAATGACTCATCTTCTTCTTGTCTGAACATTAGGATTTCACTTCTCATCAATGCCATCTTTGAAAGTGGGATGTATCTTGCGAAGAACTTATCACACAAATCTGATTTGTCGCTCCTCTTAAGGTAAAAGGGAAAAGCCTTAGTTGAAGTGCCTCTTGAGGAACTTCATTTACTTTGATACCATTCGTAAGTTCATAAAATGTTTTGATGTGAGCATGTGCATCTTCAATCATCAAGCCATGGAATTGAACTGCATTTTGAAGTATTGAAATCATCCTCAACCTAATCTCATAATTGTTGTTGGGGATAGTTGGGTGAAGAATAGGAGATTGGACATTCTCCACACTCGACCTTGAGAATGACCCCATCTTCCTCGATCTCGGTTGAGGTTGTGGTTGTAATTATGGTTGAGGTGGTGGTTGTTGATCCGCCATAAGTTGAGTTACAATCTTGTTGTTCTTCTAATACCTCGAAGGGTTCTCTCGATCTCAGTATCAAGAGGTATTTTCTCAAGAGAGTCTTTCCTTCGCATACAAATCAACTAGAAAACAAAAAATCAAACACCCATGACGTACAAATTGAGATAACAAAAAAAAAAAAAAAAGATAAAACCACTATATATGGTGGGTTCTACGATGCCTAGGGGAAATACGAGGTACCCTATATCTTGAGTATGAGAACACTATTTAGACCTCGAATTGACTGATCTTTCAGACACGATATTATACTCTAACCCTTAAAGATCAAAATCTAAGTCTTAATTCCCTAAATCTTATACCCCACGATCAATTTAATTAGAAACATTAATCGACAGTTATGATTCATTCAATATTGGCAACAAAAAAAGGAATGCACCGTCTTAGGGTTTATAGTTTATGATTTAGATACTTAGGACCTAGGGTTCACTCATTAAAGGTTAGGGTATAGTATCAGGCCCAAAAATTCTGCTAATTCAAGGTTGAAATGGCAATAGCGTTTTCATACTCAAGGTATGTTGCATCCCGGATTTCACTCGGGGTACCGTAGAAGCCACCATACGTATATAAACAGAAAAGTAAGACTAAACTAACAACTCTATAATTTTTAAGTAGTTATCAAGGTTGCCTAGCAACGACGCCAAAAAATTGGTGTGACCCCGTGCAGGTTATTAAATTGATTGCACATCTTGTATTAAGTAACCCATCCTAAAACAAGTATAATCTGAAGATGGCGTTGCTTATATATTGGTCGAACAAGGTCATATTTCACGAGTTT